AGTTTTTAATATTGTTTTTCATTTTTATTGTCGTTTTGTCTGCCATCATCAACATTTACTTGAAGCTTCAGAAGGCTGGAATACGAACGCTTATTGCAGAATAGCTGCTGTGTGTATGTGTTTGCTTGGGGTTTTGGCCTCCATTGTGCATTTGTTGTTTTTTCTTGGAATCTGTAACGCCCATTTGTGTCGTACACAGTGTCCTAGCGCGGCGTGGAAACGTGGCCTGACACGTTTGGCCCCGGGCTACTCTGACCTCAGAGAAGGCAGCTGGGCTGTTATTCCTCATCAACAATGCAACTTGTTTTGCTGGGACCCAAGAATTGGTCAGTGATGAGCGGGGGTCTGAGGAATCCTTTTGTTTGTCCCAGTTCTTGTTTTTATGTTTGGAGAAAGGGAGAGTTCTGTTTCACTTAAGCTAAAGTATGCCAAACTTTAGAAAGGGCTTATCAAAATATTTATATATTAGTGTTTTTCTGTACCAGGTTACAGGCTGAGGGCAAGCCTGCTTTTGAACTTGCCTTCAGAATTTATTTAAGCTTGTTCCAAGTATGGTGCAAATTTTTGTATTTTAAATATGAATTAATCTTGTCAAAATACCTGTTAACTTCTGTTTAAAAAACCCCCGCCTCTGTCGCTCTTGTTTCAGATGTACTCATGGTTGTTTGATGGGCCAGTTTCCTTTTCCTGGAGCTTTGTGTACTTGGGATAATTAGTTTTTGATTTAGAGGTAACTTTCCCGTCGCTCTGTGTCGGAAATCCCTTGATTGTGTCCTATTGAGCAGCTCCTATTTTAGGGTCATTCCAACCACGATGTGTTGGGTAAATCCACCAAGACAAATGTTTCTCTGAAAGGGGTGTGAGATTTTTTTGATGTTATTTTAAGCAGGTGATGTAACTGGAGCTGACAACTACCAGTGCAAGTCCAGGGTTACATCTGCAGGTTCAGGTTTTGCTTCTGTGCAAAGTGCGATTCTACTGGAGAACAGAACTGCGGTTGTGGAGGAGGAGGGGATTTGGGGGAGTCACTTGAGGTGAAAAGCAAAAACTGGAGGTCCTGCAGTTAATCATTCCAGACTTTAAATGAGACAATCATTTTTATTTCCTATTCCAGTAAAACCTGTTTCAGTTGTTCAGCTGAAAGAGCTAGCTGTTCTGTTGTTACCTATATATAGCTAATAGGTTTTTGTTAAACCTGCAAAGGTCTACAAAGGGGGAGATTTCACATTAATTAAAAACACTAGTAGGGTTTTAGTTTCTCTGTGTGATAATGAAAGTCTCTTCTGTAAATCAGTACAACTAATTTGTTCTTCTTAGCACTTAGCTTATGTATATGGGTGAATAGGAGGTGACTTTTCTTTTCCTGAACCCAATTTCAGTTGAATTACACATGAATCAAACACTCCATTCAGCATTCACGGACACTTTTCCATTGGAGTGAGTTAGAACCAGCGGGGTTTTTCCTGCTGAATGCTGTGTGTTGATAGGCAGTTAGCTTAAAGAAGGCTTTTTAGCAAGGTATGTATTTTCATGTATTTAAGCGTTTGGTTAGTCATAACTATGTTTAGCAACAGACTCTGCTTAAATTGAATTCCCTGTGATATTTGTGTGTTTTCATTGCGTATTCAGACTCTGAGCTTGATTTGCCATGCCCTACTTCTGTGTAGCTTCATCCCAATTGGGATGCTCTTTCTATTCAGATGTGTTTGTCAGCATCTGGGTGGTGGCTTTGCTTTCTTTGTGGCTGTTCCTTGGTTCTGAGCGGCGATCTCACAAGCTCAGGATGAGCAAATTAAAAATGAAAAAGCAAGTCCTGTTCTCGTTTCTCCTACCTGTCTCTGAATGCATGCCACCAATGTTTCTTATGCCAGTGCTGATGTTTTTCAGATGGTGGTGTGAGCTGATTTAACTTGTTGGAATGCTCTTCTGCCATTTTAGGAAAAAAACCAAAACAAACCGAAAGAAAAATCAACTGCTCTGCAAGCTAGATAGCCTAACCAACAGTTCTGAGTGGTGTAGAGATATAAGGGAGAGGAGGTGAACGTGCGGCAGGAGCTGGAGGAGACCCTTTCCCCTCTATTCCACGTGGTCATGAACATGATGTTGGCTGAGCTGCCTGTAAAAGCCTGCCTCGGCTTTCAAGAGCGTGTGACCAAACGCGTGGTGAAGTTGTCATAAGGCCTTTTTTTTTTTTTTTTTTTTTTTTTTTGCTTAGTCATGTGTGAGGCAGTTTCTCTAGATGTTAAGGATTAACCGAACACAACCGTTTGCCAAATAGCTTCCAGTGCTGGGTCAGGGGAGGGTGCAGGGTCAGGCCTGGCAGTGGGGGGAAGAGCAAGTGAGAGCTCACACGCTGCCTCGAGTCTCCCCACGGAGGGCTCTGAGAGCATCAGCAGCAGTCGTGGTGTGGAAACACCAGCAACTTGACTCAGCAGTTCAAATAAATTGTGCCAAGTCATCTGAAAGAGCCTGAGGGGAAGCAGCTCTGTTTTGCTGACTGAAAAACACAAGTTCCCCATTTTTAAAAAAAAAAAATGTGGGTTGAACTTGCTTGAGCACAAGCCGAAAAAAGGTAATATGAAGTCGAGGAAGTGGTTGTTTAGCAAGCTGAGCGATAGGCTTTTGCACCAAATCCCATGGCAGGCTTCTTGAAAAACATTGCCAATGCAGCTATGGTCTTCTGCATCTGCTGAGTATCTTGGGCCAGCTCTAACACGCGTGCGTAGTGGTGGCCTGTGTGGAATCAGTCGTGGAAAAGCAGTGTCTGTGGCTGACTTGATGAGAGCCTCAGAATTCAAATCCTGACTGCCTGGAGCCAGAAAACATGCTTAGATACTGTTGAGGTACAGCAGGTCCAACCAGTTAAAGTAATGGACTAATTCTGCCTTTCCTGTTCGCTGTGGTAAAAAGTGTGTGAGCTCCATCTGTCCTGGATATCAGCACTTTACCTTTGGGTTTTTAGTTCACTCTGAGTGCTTTTTCTTTTAATGGGGTTTTTCTCTTGAAGGTTGTCCTTTTATCCCTCACCTCTTTTGTGGGCCACCATGGAGGGTATTTTAGCTTTTTTTGCCCCATCCCAAGACACTGAAGAGGCAAAACCCATTGCTAGGGTTCTCCCATCTAGCCTGGAACTGACTTTGTGTATATTCAGCTTTATTTGGCGTGCACCTGCAGTGTATCTGTGGTCGGTGAGGTCAGAAAACCCGCTAGAAAGGAGTGGAGAAGCAAGTCCAGCGTGTTTGTACGGCGACTCTCGGCTCTGCTCATCTATCAGTTTTGACACAGCTGTTTTCCTCTCTGCTATAATACGTTCTTTTAAGCCTTGGGAAGCTTTGTGTATAATGATGGTATCCAGTAACAAATGAGCTCTGGCAAGACTTGTGGCTGTCCTTAGTATTAAAATGTTTATCTTGTAGTGGGCAAGGCTGGTTTTTGCTTCCTTTGATGTTGAGAAGTAGCCGCAGAGGGAGGTCTGTGTTATTGCAGGATACCATATAAAGCAGCCTGGTATTTTAGCAGTGGTGTCATTTTTTTTTTTACTATTATTATTTTTTTTTTTCCCCTGCTGCCTTTAAAATAAAATCTGGAAAGGAGATGGCAGTGAAGGAGAAATACAAGCCAGTTAGTTGCACCACTGGAGGTTCAAATTTCAGAAATGCCGCTGAGGTCTTTGCCAAAATGAGTCAAATGTTTTAAGTCTGTAAAGTGGCTCTAACTATAGGTTGAGTTAGCAGCTTAAGGAGGTTTAGTCATACTCTTCAACGCTGCGACTTAAACAGAGGAACGGCTTGCTATAATTGGAGTTGGTGATGTTGCTTATAGTTGGGATTGTATAATGGGGAATGACAGGCAGCCTTGTTCTGGCAGGTCATAAAAACTTTGAGAAGCTTTAAACATGTGAACAGGCAGTTCTTATATTGAGTGTCTCTTCTGTTTTTTTTTGGTGAAGTGTGGTAAAAAGCTAGCAGTTTTTAGAACAAGATTAGGGAAGGATGCATCAGTTTTGCCCTATATCAGAAACTGTTTACAGCTGTTATTTGGATGTGTCCTCTCTTTTTTTAACTCCTGTTTCTACCCGTTTGACAAGGGAGTTGAAACTTGGTTATGGACTAGTCACCTAAGCTTCGGGAAATGCCTTTTGCTGCTCCTATTATAGCTATAGTGAATTTGGCTGTTCTTAAAAAATTATGTATAATCTGTATATGCTCAGATACTTGTCTGGCTATGTAATCCAGGCGGTTTGGGTCAAAGCCAAAAGTATAGAGGTAGATTTAGACCACCTTAAACATTTAGTGAGCGTGCTTAGCCGTAGGTGGGAATTGTACATACAAATCATCTGGGAGCTGAACTTCTGTGCCCCTTTACTTGAAACACTTGAAGTGTCTGGAGGGGATTAATATAAATGCACTCTTTATGAAGTTAACTGGAGATACGTTGGAGCTAAAAGACATGGTGTGAAACTCTGAGACCTGAAGAGGTCCTGTGTATCTTGATTTAAGTGTCTAAAATCAGTGGTCGTGTAGTGGTGCTCTTCATCATCGTCTCCCTAAGCAAAAGGGGCTGCCTGGCCTCTGAGAAACGGTGCACTAATTCTTGCCAAGTGCCTGGCTTGCTACGTGTAAAGTCATGAAAGCTGTATGGAGAATTAAATAAATCTGCACTGAGTATGGATTAAATGGGCCTCCTCCAAACAGAGAAATGAACATGTTATTTAGGGGGAATCCGTTCAATGAATGAAGTCTTTTCTGTGCCAGCCTGTAATCAGCATCTCCGTTTCCAAGCCTGTGTCAGAGCAGGGGGGCTGGGGTGGCTGTGGGGAGCGATGCTTGCGCAGGCAGCCATCTCTTCCAATATTTCCCCTCTCTCCAGGGGGGACACAGCCACGTTAGTGTTCCTGGGTGTTTCATGTGGGGTTTAAATGAGATGTATATTTACTAGACACCTTTCTGTGTCGCAGTGTGATGCCCGGTACTGATTGCCCTTGCTGTCTGATTGAGCAGGTGTTCTGGCGCTCTGGGCCCTAATCACGCATGTGATGTATGTGCAGGATTACTGGAGGACCTGGTTAAAAGGGCTGAGGTTCTTCCTCTTCATCGGGATCCTCTTCTCAGCTCTCTCAGTGGTGGGATTCTGCACATTCCTGGTTCTGGCCATCACCAAGCACCAGTGTAAGTACTTTGTTACAGCAGGCAGCTGGGAGAAATGACTAGCGATGCTGGGGTTACTGGGATTGGATTTGAAGGAACAGAAGAGCCTGCAAAGCAGAGCTGGGGGTCAGAATGTGAGGGTGCTTCTGCCATCTCTTCTGAGAGGTGTTGAGAGACTTTTGGGGAGGGGCTGCAAGAACACCATTGCATTTATTTTTTTCTGCTGTGATATCTTGATGACACAGGAGTAATCCCGCTGCCTGATGAGTGCTGCTCCCCTAGGGCATCCTCTCATATTTGAGAGCAGCCGTGATGGGCCTGGTCTGTAGGGCTGCTGGCGGGCAGGCCACATTTTCCAGCCTTGTTTCCTATAGGAACTGGCATTTACTTATTTCTATGACAAATAAAGGGAGTGCTCTTAAACAGTGTCTCTTCAGCACTCATAAAGCAGGTGGGTGAGGATATTAAAATCCAAACACGAGTCAGCAGGGTGAAAATGCCTTCTACACTTAGTCAGCATATAAAGCTGTGTTGCTATAAAATATTTAACACTGTCTAAGGAAGGTTCACTAATTATTTCCAGTATTTGCTTGGCAATAGACCAAAGAGAGAAAGTTTGGGGCTTGTTTTTTTTTTTAGAAGTTGTCTGTGTTTGTTGCTTGCTGCATTTGGGCCGATAGCCACTAAGAGTCCTGTTGTGGTTGTACTCGTGGTGGTGGGCACGCTGTGTTGGGGTCGTAACCCACCGAAAGCCCTTGGCTTAGCCCTGATACGTTCCCCGTGGAGCTTCGAGTGCTTCAGCCTAGTGGAAGGGTATGAAAATACTCGTACGCAATCGTTAGAAATACAAATGGAAAAAGAAAACCAAATATTTTTCATCACCTCCTTTCTTGGAGACAGGAGGAAAAACTGGTTTGGGGAATATTTGGGGTTTTTTAGGGAAAGCCCTAATTTGAGGGGAAACTAGAACATCTGCACAGGTGATTTATGTGTGGAAAGTTTAGAACTGGTATACTTAATGAGTGGGATTTACTGAGTAAGTATTGTTTTGTGTATTCTTCAAAAAAATTATCATCTTTATTTTTAATAATGACCAAGCAGCCTGTGCTTGGAAGTAGAATTGTTTTACGCATTAGGTTATGTAAGTGTATTTCAAAATCCTTGACATCTCTAGAACAAACAAAAAAAACTTTGAAAATAAAGACTGCTGACATGCACTCAGAAAGCAGAACCATACCCACTTGTCCTCAAAGTAATCCCTAAGTCAAGGCAGTTTTATGTAGATAAAGAAGAAATGTGTTCATTTGCAAAGATTCTCTAAAAAGAGGCTGTTCATGTCACTCCCTGATGTGTGATTATCACAGCACTGTATTGCAGACCTGCAGTACAGGTTGAAGTGCCCCAGTATTATATATAAAATGTCAGTCACAATGATCAGTAAAAGCATTTTTAGAAGGAAGATACATTTTATCTCTTGTTTTCCCCTGAGATGTTCAGATTTCCTCTCTCCCTGCCGTGGTGGGGCAGAAGGGAGTAGAAATAAGGCAGGGTGAGAGAAATTCAGAACTGATGCTTGAGGTTGTTTTCTTGAGCCACATGTTTCTGCCGTCCAGGAATTCACACAAACTCCATCTGTTGGGCCCTAAGCAAGGAGAGTTTGGGGTGGCCGAGTGGGTGGCCTTACAGCTCTCAGGATCTGCCTCTGGAGATAATAATGACCTTCTTCAGACTGTGACCAAAATACTCTCCTGTGGCAGAGATGAGGAAGTTTTACAATGGGAAGAAGGCACTGATGAAGCCTTGCTGGCAGAACGAGTTCTTTAGATGCAGGCTGAAAGTCTCCCGGGAACTGGGGGGCTGAGTTGGGTTCTTTCTGGCCAGACTCCATGAGGGATAAATGGGATTTTTAAATGTGTCTGTATCCTTTTCTCTCCTAGCCCTGACTGATCCCAGAAGCTACTACCTGTCGTGCGTCTGGAGTTTCATCTCCTTGAAATGGGCCTTCCTGCTCAGTTTGTACGCTTACCGGTACAGGAATGAGTTTGCAGACATCAGTATCCTCAGTGACTTCTAACGCTTGGACTTCAACCCTGTCTGAAGGTGCTGGATGTTTGAATTGCCCTCCAGAGGCATGGTACATGCAAGAGATGTATGAGAGGTGGAGAAGGAACCCACCCAGTGCTGCTTGGTTTGTCTGTCTGCAGTAGGGGTTTTTCCTAATTGCTTTTACTCAACCATTTAAAGTTTGGCTAATGATGTCAATCTAGTCTTTCTGTAACTTCCCTGGGAGTCCTGTGTCTGGTAGTGAGGTGAAAGACTCCACGTGCTTACACGCAGCAGGCCTAGATCCACTCTTTGTGTTGCCCCGAAATCCAGGGGAGCTTTCAAGTGGGGAGGAAGTCCTGGGCCCTCGGGGTTGGTACCTCGCGGACGCAGCACCCCGACATCTTGTCCTCACGAGCGCATCCCCAGCCTGCTTCAGGTGGGTGCCCCAGATGCGGGTAGCAAAGAACCCTACTGTGTGAAAGTCAGCTCCTTTTGCACTGCCCTGCTCCTCAGAGGAAGGGAGAGATGAGCCCTTCCTTGTGGCAGAAGGCCCTACCTACCTCCCAGCCAATACCCCGCATCCTCCAGGATTTTCCTTTTACACTCTGTACACCAGGTCAGCTCACTCCTGGGGTCTGGAGGAGCCTGGAGGGATGGGCCAGCAGCAGAGAAGCACTAGTCATCTCAAGGCTCTGTCAGAGGTGGAGAGCGCTGTTTCTGGCTGCTTTTAACAAGGAACTTAATACCATATTTAATGCTCAAATTTATAGCATGTAGAATCACGTGTTTGGGTGAAAGATGCGCTGGGCAAAGGCATAAACCCCTGGAGAAACATGAATATGATTCTCAAAAAAAAAAAAAAAATCATCTTTTTGTAGGCAGTAGCATTTCCTTTTCTTTGCTCAGCTTCCCTGTAACAGTCAGCAGGACGAGAGAAGGGAGAAGACACAGTACTCAAAAATAAGAAAGGTATCCAGAGTCGGCTTCCAGCAAGCCTCTGTAACGAGAGCCACTGGCATAATGCAACCCCAGATAAATTGCTGGGCCGCTCGTGCGGCGAGTTAAGGGGTGACAGGTCTACACACCTGTGCTGGAGACAGCAGGGCTTGGCTGGCAGGTCTGTGCCCCATGGCAGCAGAGCCTCCCCTCTGCGTTCCAGCCGCGCGTGGCACTGCCCTGACGAACCTAAACCCCGAGTGGATTTTGTGACCCCTTTCATCCCCGTGTTTGCCCCCTGCCAGCAGCTACCTTGAGAAGCTTGAGACCGCCAAGCGTTTGCATCTTCCCTTGTTCTCTACACGTACTTCAAACCAGCTTAAAGGTTTCGGGCTGCTGCTCTGGCAGAATCCAGTTTTGCCGTGTCAGACAGACGGTGCTGGCTGCTACAAACTGGAGATGGCCAACTTCCGTGACTGATTCCGCGGGTGGGTGGGAACGAGGCAGGAGGAGCCCCCTTCCCTTGCAGCCCGAGGGAAGGTGAACAAGGTGGGTGTTTGAAGGAGCCTCCCAGACGCGGTTGTCCTGCCACGGCTCCAGGGGTGCTGCTGGAGCCTTCCCCCAAGTGCCGTTTTGGCAACGTGTGGCAGAGGGGGGGTGGGTGACGGGACCTGCTCAGGGCTTTGTGGCCACGTGAGGTGCGAGCGGAGGGTCCTGCGTGCTCTGTTGTCAGCCCAGGTTTCTCTCGTGCCACGCATGTCTGGTTTTGTGCAGCTGGCTGCTGGGGACTCTCTGTTCCCTCCTCCTCGCCGTGTGCTCTGACTTAGCTGTGTTTGAATCCCTCTCCGTGCTCAGAGGCTCCATCCACACCTTCGCTGTTCTGTGCTTTGCTTTGGGAGATGAGTGGTTCAAGCACGAGGTAGTTCACTTGAGCTGTTGAGGGGATTTTGGAAGTGTTTGGCAGCGTCTGTTGATGGCAGTTTCCTGTTTCTTGCGCAGGAAGAGCCTCAGGTGACTTAACTGGGTTGAGGAACATCTTTGGGTCAGTGTGTAAACGGAGGTTATAGCCAGCTTTTGCCAGGGGACCTGCTGGAGTCACTCAACCCAGAGAAAGGCTGCCAATGTGAAATGCGCTTTCTTATGAGACTAATACTCAGGCTTTGAAATACTGAAATCTCCCTTTCCGCTGGCGTCGGGCGGCCAGCGTGCCTGGCAGGGGATGGGAGGCCTCGCTTCACTTCCCTGCCCAGCTGTGGAGCTTGCAGGTGGTTTTAGCATCGGTCATTTCAATAAGCCATTTCTCATCCTGCCTCCCCCCCCCCCCCGACACCCCCCTGCCTGCGCCTTTGCTGTGCCGGTGCCGCTCGGGATGCGGGAATCCCGACACACTGGTCGGGCTGGGGGAGCTCTGCTACTGCCTTACAGCAAAACATTGTCCCCCTATGTCACTGAATTGCAGAGCCCTCCTGGCTGCACGCCACTGGCATCTCGTAGGAGCACATCAGGGGCTCCCTTCATGGGCACGTGTCCAAAAGTCCTATCACCTTACCCCCCCCCCCGGAGTTTTTTAAAGTTTATTTTTGTGACTGTAAATTTGCCTACAAGCAGCTCACTGAATCTAACCCATTTTCTCCCTGACGTGTTTTAGCTCTGGACTTTCTACTTGCATCTCAGCTTTTTAAAAGATGGTGTATGTAAATATATAATATATTTTTACATTGTTTATGCTTCGTTTGCACGCTTGGTGTAAGATTTGGTGCTGCGGTGGGATGATGTAATTCACAGTGGGGTTCATTTGCGTGTATCCCAATGTTTCCTTGTACTAAACCACACTATAACTTGTATGTGACACCACAATAAGAGCAGAAATACAGTCGTCTTTCTCACCAAACCTGTGTCTGGAGTGATTTTCCCTATTAGGTTGTTAAAATTTGTCTCTCTCCCTCCCTTGATGACAACCTGCAGCATCAGCACTCCTTGGGGGAAGACAGGGGTGAATTGTACAAAACATTTTGCTTTTTGGGGTGATGTGGAGCCCCAGCGTTTAACTCTGCCGCGCTCCGTCCCTCGCGTTTTTCTCGGCGCCCTCCCCATCTGGATCCACAGGCAGTGATGCCTCGTGTGGGTTTTTCCCCCCCTCCTCACAAATCCCTCTGCATTTTGAGATTTTGGCACGGAGGAATTTTTAAGTGGCGGGGTTTTATTTGCCCTGTAGTCTGCACCGGCAGCAAAGGGCTGGGGGGGGGGGGGGGCGGCTGGTTAATGTGCTGTGCTGGGGACGCCCCCCCGTTCCCGTCCCTTGTCACCCCCACCTCGGACAGGCCACCACGACTGTTTGCAGAGCCCAAACCGTGGCCACCTTCTTAGCAAACCTGGCTGCAACTTCAGTCTGTGGGGAGGGAATATTTCAGCTTCCTGTGCAAACCCATATGCTGACTGCCTGGGGGCAGGGTGCTGACTTTTTTTTTTTTTTTTTTTTTTTTTTCTCCCCCCCCACCCCTTTAGCCAGATTTTATTTTTGCTGTTGGAATGAGATCGTCCTTTAGCCGTCTTCCCCCTCCCAGTAGCTTGGCCAGAACTTGCTGTCGGGGTGTGTTAATTAGCCCGGTGTGACCCCAGCCACGAGGCAGCTCTTTGTTTTATGTTCCCCCCTTGCCTTGTGCGCAGCCTGAAGGGAGGCAGCGCGAGCCCTCGCTTACCCAGTCTTGATGGTGGATCGGACCCGTTTCGGCCAGGCTGCGTCCGAATGAATGCGGGGGAGTTTGGATTAAGCCATCGGTTTCCTCGAGGGCGGAGGAAAAAGGCCGCTGGCGCCTGCGAAGCCCCATTTTGGGGGGTTTCAGGCACCGCTGGCTGCAGCCGGAGCTTGGTGCCCGTGTAGCAGCAGGTGGAGAGAGAGGAGTTGGGGCGTTCCTCTGCCAGCGAGTCCTGGTGACAGGCGCGGGTATGTCCCTGGGCTGGACGGAGGACAAACAGCTCCGTTATTTAGCTACATTTTGGCCCAAACACTAAATATTAATGTAAACAAGGCCTGGCTCTTTTAACTGTTTCCCTCTGCTTGCTGATAGAAACGAGAGGAGAGTTTTTCCCTGGGGACAGTCTGCCCGTCTGGAGTATTCAAGCTTTTAGGGGCTGCTTTTCATCCTCCTCCCCCGGCACTTGCCTCTTGCAGGGCTGGGCTGCACGTTCACAGGTATATGACGTTGCTGATAATACTGAAACGAGCTGGCATTCATCAAGCATCGTGGATGAAGGCTGTCTTTAAAAAAGATAGGTGGGGGCCTATGCCATTGGAAAAATGACCAGGTTTTCTAATCATCTAATTTAAAACCCGTGCCTGCAGGTGAGAGTCCCTAAACCCTCTCCGGCCCTGGGTGCTGCCGGGGCTGGAGGAGCAAGCTGCCTGCCCGCCCCGGGTGGTCCCGAGGCTCACCCTGCGCAGATGAGGCGGGGGAATGGCAATCCTGCCCCTCTTCTTCTCTTCCTCTTAGGTTTTGGGGAAAGAAAAGGCAGCGTCGGGAAGCTGAGCAAGGAAAAGAAGCGCAAGGCGGTGTCTTCAGCGCTGAAGGGCAGCTGGAAGTTCGGCGGGAAGCGCTGCGCTGGGGATCCCTCCTCTCCCAAGCTCGCCGCCGAGCTGGCCCTCGAGCGGCTCTTCCCCTCCCAGTCCTGCCCAGTGGCACAAATCCTGTCGCTGAGGCTGGGACCAGGACCCCGTGCCACCCCCCAAGTCCCCTGGCTCAGCGAGGTTTGGCGGGGGGGGGGACGACGACGACCCAGGCATCTTGATTCCCGTTCATCTGTTTGTAGCCCAGCCAGCGAGTGCAGCGGCTGGTGGGAGGCCGCGGTAATTAGAACATTTGGAAAAAATTTGGGAAGCGCTGGGACAGCGTCTCCCCTTTGATGCTTTTCCTGCAGGAGGGAAGAGTCCAAGGCTCCGCGGCTGGCGTCGCTGCGCGGCGAGCTCCGCTCCGACTCCCGCTTACAAATGAAACGAGTTTGCCGGGCTCGGCCGCGTCCTCGGTGGCACCACTGGCCGCCTGCTCACAAGGGGCCCAGAGCGGCTTTGCTGGGGGCTTCTGGGGCGAGAGATGAGAGGTGTCCTCCGGGGGAGGGAAGGGGCAGAAGGGGGTGTGTGTGTGTGTCGTCCCCCCCCCCCTAAACCTCGGCACCAGCAGCTTTTGGCGGCAGCACAGGAGGGAGGGGTGTGGGAGATGGGGCTGAGCCCCCAGCCTGGCTGAGCACCCATGGGTGCAGGGTGGGCAGTAGCCAGTGGAGGGCAGCAGTGGCCTGGCCATGGCTCCTGGGGGGGGGGGAAAGCTGGGGGGGCCCCCCCAGGAGCAAGATCTTCATCCCCGCAACACCCGCGTCACGGGGATGTGTGTCCAGCTGAGGGTTTTCTTGGAGTTGGGGGGGGGGGTGTGTGTGAGGCTGGACCCCTTCGGGGACCGCCACCTCCCACCGCCCTGACCCCACCGTCCCAGTCAAAGCCGCCGTTCCCTTGCGGACTGAGCTCTGCAGAAATCCTCGTTTCGCACCTCTGCCCCAGCCCAGGGTGACGGGAGGGTCTGGCAGCCACCGCGGGACAGTTTGGGGGTTCCCCTTCCCTCACCGGGGGTCTCGCAGGCGGCTCTGGGAGCCGCTTCTGCACCGGGAGGTCGCTCCTGGCACCGTTCCCGGCTCGTTCGTGAAGAAATCTCAGCTGGTTTTGTTCTGCTGAGGAGCCACCGAGTCTCTGCCGTCGACGAGGAGGTGATGGGGACTGACAGCCCCGTGGCACACGCGCCCAGGGACGCCCACGTGAGCGAGCCCTTCCCGGGGGACTTCACCCACTGTCCCTGTTCCCTGGGTCGGGTCCAGGGGCTGAGCTCGGAGCTGCAGCAAGTCCAGCACCGTGTCGCCGAGCTCCGGGACGTCCCCTGGGCTGGAGGCCACCGAGGAGCTCAGCAGGGTCCTGCAGTGCCTCTCGCCGTGGGATGCGCAGGGGTGTAGGTACCCCCCTGGGCATCACCTGGGCCACAAAACTGCCCCTCGGGCTGGCTGCAGGGGCCAAAGTGGCACAGGTAGGAAGGGGAGGATCTGCCTTCTCCGCTTGGTTTGCAGTGGGGAATCCGAGTCCCCTGAGGCGCAGGCTCCCACCTGTGCTACGGGATGGGTTCTGCAGCTTGGTGAGTCCAGACATCCTCCAAAGGAAGGGTAGAGCAGCTCTTGACTGCTCCGATCGGGAGGGGAAAAGCCTTCTCCTCCCTTGGGGAAAGGTTTCCAGCCCCTGCTCTAACCAGGCAAGGCAGCACCCCAGTCCAAATTACCTGCTCGTCCCTCTGGTGCTGGGACACGAGGGGATCAGAGGTCCCATGTGGATCTAAAGGGTCACAGCAACCCCCTGGGCAGGCTCCAGCCCTTCTCTACCCGCAGGCTCCCCACACTCCCGGCGATCCCAACCCCATTCCCAGGGCAGACCAGGCTTTACCATCCCACAGGACCTTTTTTCCTGCAATAACCCACTTTTTCGCTCGGAGCAGCGGCAGTGTTCCTGTCACCTGGCACTGGGCAGCATAAGGAAGTCTTCAGGAATCAGGCAGCCTGGGCTTGATTTGGCACATGTGTCGGGGCTTGCAGAGGACCTTTGGTGTTGGAAGGAGAGCGCCGTGAAGCACAGCCCGGCTTGCAACCCCCTGTCCCACCACAAGTGCAGGTCTCTGACAGCTTGCTGGGACCCACTGTCGGGCTCTCAGCACCCTCCCAGAGGGTCCCACCACTCGCCCGCCTCGGCGGCCCTGAGCCCACCTTCCTGCCTGAGCGGCGCTTGGAGAGATCCAAAGCAGCATTAGCAAAAACAACAGATTTTTTGCATTTTAGCAATCTGCTTTCAAGATGTGGGGAGGACGGAAGCGGCGTTTCAAAGGCTTCGAGTGCTGCAGCCGCGCCAGACGCGGAGGCCTCGGCAGCTGAGCCTCGCTGGAGCTGCTGAACATGGGCCTTCAAAGGTGGGTTTGGGTGGAGAAGGATGCTCGATGCCTCCTGGCCGGGGTGACGCTGTCTTCGGTGTGTTGGGTCCAGAAATTCTGGCTGGGTGTCCTCTAAGTGGGCTCTGGGGCTGTGCTTGGGCTGGTCCAACAGCTCTAAGACACGGGGCAGAGCCTGGGGCTCTGTGCAGCCGGGGTAAAGAGATTTTCAGCCATCCTTGAGGTGACCATGGGTGGTCCTAAGCCGGGAGGGACCAGCCACATAGGTCAAAACCCTGCCCAGGTGCTGGGTCCTTGTCCCCTCGGGGATGGAACAGCTTGACGCTGCCACGCTGGGTCTCATCCTGCCGCTTGGCCAAAGCTGTGCTTGCAGGACCCATCGCCCGGCCGCGTGGGTGCTGAGCAGGGGCGAACCTGCCGCGCAGAGCAAGGGCCGAGGGGGACGGTTTTCCAAGCCCTGCAGGGAAGGGGGGACCTCAGCCGCGCTCGGTGGCTCCGCTCTGCGGAGCAGCCCTGCCGCGCGGAGCCGCCTGGGCGCAGGGTTTGCCGCAAGCGCGGTCCCCAGCCTTGCAACCGAGCCGGCCCGCCCTGCGAGGAGGGAGCCGACTCAGCACATATTTGCTCTTTGTTTACTGGCTGTTGCTTGTTACAAAAAAAGCAAAAAAAAAAAAAAAAAAAAAAAAAAAAAAAAATCCCCCAAATACCATTTTAATAACTGCAGCCCTTGCACGCAACATCCTGATCGGAGCGGGAGGGAGCTGTATGCCATCATGTGCCGGCTGGGGTGAGGGGGAGCAGGCGTGGGGTGTTTTTTGGACGCGAGTGAGGGGTTGGGGTAGCGCTGGAGGGGGCCAGTGGAGCGATGAGCTGGAGGTGGCAGGCGGGGGGGTGGCCCTGGGCACGGGGCAGTGCTGGACGTGGATGGGTA